TTAAAAATAAATCTTTATGCATTGGGTACCATCTTTTTATACATAAAGTCTTAAAAACAACTTTTTATGGTTTAGGGTTTATGGTTTATGGTTTAGGGGTTAGGGTTTATGGTTTAGGGTTAGGGTTAGGGTTTATGTTTAGGGTTTAGGGTTTAGGGGTTATGGTTTAGGGGTTATGGTTTATGGGTTAGGGTTTATGGGTTAGGGTTAGGGTTTATGGTTTAGGGGTTATGGTTTATGGGTTAGGGTTTTTTTTTTATAGGAAGGGGGGAGACCCCTCCAGATCAAGATAAAACACTAAAACGCTAAAATAGCAACAATGAAGCACTCGGGTAGGAGGAAACCTCGACTACCAGAATCCAAGGCACCCAGAAGGGAAAGAAAGAGGGAGGCAAAGAAGAAGAAAGACGAGAAAAGAGGGGAAAGGAGAGAAAAAAGAAAGGGAGAAGAAGAGAAGAGGGAAGAAAAGAGGGAAAGAGAAGAAGAGAGAGAAGAAGAGGGACAGAGGAAGAAGCCGACCACAAGGGAAGGGCCCAGCCAAGCCAAGACCGGGAAACAACGGGGGACACCATAGGGGCAGGAGAAGGGGCCTAAAAAAGGCACACCCTAAACCGCACCAAGAAAACCAGGAGAGCGGAGGAGCTCACACAAACAGACAGACAGCACAAAAGAAAACAGACGGCTAAGGAAGGTTCCAAGCGAGCCAAGCCCGGTCAACATTGGGGGAGGGCTTGAAAGTCAGGCTAAGGAGCCTGGAACGGACATCATCAGTAATTGTCTTACCAACCGCAATATGCGATCTTCGTTAGCTTTTGAAGATGCGGTTATTTCTTTCTTGCCATAAGTGGTAGACGGTCGCAGCAAGTACTAAGCAACGAATGATAGACCATAAGGTCTTTCCTTTGGTGACATGCTGAAACATACCGATAATATCAGCCCAGATATCTGGGATACCATTGAGGTTTAACTTGGCTTTTAAGCCATTCTAGACCAGATTAGGGAACGGGCACTCAAAGAAAAGATGCGAATGCGAATCAGGCCCGTTCTAACAAAACGCACAGGACAGGTCGGAATGGGCCTCCCAGAACCGGAGTTTATCATGCGTCTTGAGACGCTGCTTGAGAGCAACCCACAGAATGAAGGCATGTCTGGGGATGCTTTGAGAGAACCAGACTAAATGATGCCAGGAGACATCAGGCTCATTGGGACGAAGGGAGAGCCACACCTCACGAACAGAGAAAGGAGTGAGACGGCCATCCCTAGTTCTCCAGAGGAGCTGATCAGGGGTGGTCGGGGAAAGAACAGGGATGGGAGAGACGCGGATGGAAGGGTTGGAATTGTCCCTCAGGAGAGGAGACGTCCAATTGCCCTGGAAAACAATATCTCTGACAGAAGCAGAGAGAGATATATTAGAGTTGAAGATACTGTGGGAAGAGATATGCCGGTAGAGGGGGCCAGCCGGATGCCAGTTATCATACCAGGCAGACGTGGAAGCGCCATCACCAATCTGGGAGACAATAAAGTCTCTTATCTTTTCTCTCATACCTAGGATCTTCCTCCAGCCCCAACCCACATCACTGCGTATCGGGGCATCCCAGAAGTTACGATCTTTCAGCCTGTAGGAGTGGATCCATTTAACCCAGAGCGAATCCCTATTGGTAAGGAGACGCCATGTGTGGGAGGCCATGAGGGCAAGATTCCAGCTGGCAAGGCTCTCTATGCCCAGCCCGCCTTGAGATTTGGGGAGGCAGACAGTCTTCCAGGAGACCTTTGCTTTACCCCTTTTAAGCTCACCGTGGCACCAAAGAAAGCCCCGCATGAGCTTCTCAATCTCTTTGGAAATGGAAATTGGAAGCACAAAAATAGAGGCCCAATAGATCTGCATCGAGGACAGGATCGAGAGAATGAGTTGCAGTCTACCGGCAAAAGAGAGGGACTTATTCTTCCAGTCATTAAGCCTGGAATTGACCTTGTCAACAAGTCCCTTACAATCCCTATGATAGAGGCGGGTGGTAATGAGAGGGACACCGAGATAGCGCACCGGGAGGGAACCTTCCGGGAACTGAGTGATGGCTTGAATGGATTCCTTGGTGTGCTGGCCAACATTACAATAGAAGGCCTCACATTTGGCCGGACTCGGGAAGAGACTAGACACACTCGAGAACTCATCAAGGGAATCCTTTATGACCCGGGCAGAGTCACTGTCACCATGACTGAATATGAGGAGATCATCAGCAAAGCAAAGATGGGTGATATTCTGCTCCTCACAATTCCGGTGATAGGAAAAAGAACCCGTCTCACGAATTTTTCTTTTGGTCAAGAGGTTGAGGACCTCCATGACTAGGGTGAAGAGATAAGGGGAAAGAGGATCACCCTGCCTGAGGCCACGGCCTCCCTTGAAGTAGCCATGGAGGTTTCCATTAATACTGACTGAGTAAGAGGCCG